TTCCAACTGATAATAAGAGTTGACAGCATATTTCCTACCCAGTCAAAAGAATTAGAGAAAACTTTAAATGGGGAACATTCCTTTATTTTTTGTGGAAGTTAAAAATATGATTTTGGTATTTTGAAATTCAGCCGCAATTTTCCAAAATGGCGGCCAACTTTGAAATTTCTTATGAAACACCCTATATTTTATCATGTTTTAGGATAGAATATGCAATTTAAAACAAATTTTACCCCTGACATTTTTTCGATAAACCCACTCGTTTAGGAGTTACAGCCTATGGCAAAATGACTTCCGGTGTACATTTTACATCATGTAGCGCCTAAACAAGTATGTTTATAGCGAAAATGTAAGGAGTGAAAAAGTCTTAAAATTGCATCCACATTCCAAAAAGACCATAGCCTAATTTTTTTTTTAAATATTAATTATATTATTTCAATAATGGCGGTCATTTTCTAAAAGGGCGGCAAACTTGAAAAGTGGAAAACTGTTTATTTTATAGTCTTAATGGAATGTAGATGCAATTCTATGACTAATTCACTTCTTGCAATTTTGCTCTAAACTTACTCGTTTAGGAGCTACATGAAGTAAAATGTACACCGGAAGTCATTTTTCCATAGGCTGTAACTCCTAAACGAGTGGGTTTACCGAAAAAGTGTCAAGGATAAAAAAATTTTTAAATTGCATATTATATCCGAAAGCATGATAAAATATGGGTGTTCCAGAAAAAATTTCAAAAGTTGGCCGCCATTTTGGAAAATGGCAACTGAATTTCAAAAAACTAAATTCATATTTTTAACTGCCACAAAAAATAAAGGAATGTAATGTTTTCTCCCCCATTTAATGTTTTCTCTAATACTTACCATTTCCGATACCCCAATGGTGGCCTCCTTGAGTTGATCACCCTGTATATATGAATTTGAACGGATCGTGTTTTTGGCCTCTAGGGACCTCAAAACGAAAAATTAAATCGGTCCCGGGTCCAGGTGTTACCATGAGTACTACGGTAATAGCTTATTCCCTATATGGGAAATCCGCTAAAAACCTAATAGTTCTATAGAATAACTAGCTGTATCCGCGGGCTTTGCCCCGTTTAACTTATTTATTTTCAAGATGAGCTCGTTCGCATGGCTCAATCACGTCCTGGTTGAAGTTCGTTCGCTACTCTCACTCACCTTTAGGTTGAAGGTCGTTCGCTACGCTCACTCACCTTTTGGTTGCAAATTAGCTGTTGTCATGAATTGTTTAATTGACACAGCTGTTAAGATTCATTAATTCCTTTTAAATATGAAAAATCATAAGGTTAAGATGGGAAACTCCAGAGCCACTGGGGCGGAGCCCGAATGCCCGATCATAATAAAAACTACTTAGTTTTCCTATTTAATGCCCAAAGAATCGGTGTATCGAATTTCAGCCTCCTAGGTAAATGGGAAGTGGGAGAATTAGTGATGATGAGTGAGTGAGAGTGAGTGTGTCAGTGAGTCAGTGAGGGCTTTGCCTTTTATAAGTATACATAGTACATTCAACCAGCTGTTAGTTAAAACAAATTATATTGGACTAAAACAAATCGATGATTACAAAGAATGCTTTAAAAAATAATTTGAACATCCTACTACTGTATTTTACTATGCATATTTAATTAATCTGCCATCCTCGTACCGAAGAATTGAATGTATCAATGGTCAGCATTACACATAGTATAAATAAGTCAACCATAAGTATGTATTTGCATTTTTTTCCAAATACTGAATTTGTGTCACAAATGCTGAATGTTACAGCTGTTATGTTAAGCAAATTATATTGTACTAAAAGCTAGCTAGAAGCATTGACTATTGGAGAAGGTTAGCATCGGCTGCTAGACTTTTTAAAAACTAAAACTTAATTTAAAAAAAACTGGGACCCTAATTTAAAATTATGGCTTCGACATTCCCTAGTTCTCAAAATTATCTTTCTTTCAACACAAAAATAATGAAAATCCGTCGACTGATTGATTCAGAATCGTGAAAAAATCCCATTTACGTTTTAATAATATATATGATAGTTTGGACAGGTTTCAACCCTTCCGAGGCGTAATAAATTTACACAGTTTATATGTAGACTACATTATAACTCATAAAATAGTTCTACAATTAAATGGATCTCCTTTTACAAACGTATATAATAACCAAAAATTTTCAGATCGTACTTGCGGGTATTTTATGCCACAAATTTTTACGAAAGGCTATACCTATTTACAGTGTTGACCAAACAGTTGGCAAGAAGCATTAATAGATAAGCTATGTACCAAATATAATAATTTTAGCTCTATTCTAATTATGACAAAACACGAAGTAACTAAAAGCGAGTTTTGTTGGTGTAGTAAGCGTTGCAGGAGGTCTACTTTACACTGAATCGACGTTCACTTTTATTGCTTTTGATCTTCCGGCACTGTTGACTCAGCGAAACTGAACTTGTATTTTACCATATTTCGTTATATTAAAACTGCTGTTGCATTAGGTCAAATTCCCAATAAGTCAATTGCTTTAACATAGACCACGTTTTTAGCTCGGACTGTATTATTTGACTTACTGGGACTTTTGATCTACAGACACTGCAAACATTGTAGTTTTTGACCTAACGGCACAGGTATAAATTATTTGATCTTCCGGGACTGTTGACTTCCAGCAACATTCCCTAGATATAAAGAAAGAAAAAATCAAAATACCCTCGTTGCAGCTTAATTTAATATTTCAATTATAAAATATTAAATTAATGATGTTTTTTGCCTTTATGGACATCAAAATTAAAAAAAAGTAAAGCGGTCCCGGCTAATAGTGTCGGAGAAAATTTCCTAAGAACACTTTTTACAAGAAAGTTTAGCTCGTATGTTTTTTCTTTGTAACCTAATTGATGATACGAACGTCAGCTTTTAAATTCTAAAGCATGTTAATTGCTTTATTTAACGAAAGTTTAAGTCTGTCTACCACCTTGTGAGAGCGTTGTTAGGGATTGGATTTTAACAGAAGAGATCATCGTGATTACCATAAGGTATTTTATATAGAAGTACTCAGTAAACATACATAAAACCTACTCCCCTCTACTCCAAAACGCGCGTTACAACGCTCACATGTGTACGGTCCCATAAACACCTTCGTAGCTCAAGGCGCGCTGCTAGCGCGCGTTGCACGATGAACCTCTGAGGCGCGCGTTGCAACGCGCGTTGGCCGAAGTACTGGCGCTGCTACTAGTATAGCGCTTGTACTAGTATAGTGATGGGACAACCGACTGGAAAAAACTATCGACTAGTCAATTTGTCAATCGGTTGTTTTTAAAACCAGTGGTTTTTTTCAATGAATGAAAAACCGAGAGAATTCCACTACAACAACAACTGGTGGCGTTCAATCGGTGCATTGGTTTCAGTCATTGCACGAAAATGATCGAATATAATTTTACTTTAAACATTGGAGTTTTCCCGCTTGATTCCTATTGTTTGTTGTCATTTGCATTAATATTTTGTTACTTTGGTATACAACGTAATAGAATGACAACATTTACAATTAATTAAAAAATTTTAGTTTATTACATGATTGCAAGATTTAAATTATTCAGTAGGCCTAATGTCTCTAACTCAGTATGACAAATATTCCTATTTATTTGTTACCTGGTTTTTAAAACAGATTTTACTACAGGCATTAAAATCTAAATCATCAGTATATAAAACACAGTGTCTTGGCAATTTTATATTTTTTTAAACAACAAAAATAAATGCAATTACATTTTATGTATCATCCCTAAAAACTGTTCCCAATTCCTATCCGTCAGTTTATCTACAACTGATTTTATTCGACCAGTCAGCCTCATCTCAACACCAAAAGGTCGAGTATGGTGTTACGACTAGTTTAATCACCGACGACTGTTTCCAGTCATTCCTACGTAGTGGGTTATGACGTATTGTTTGAAAGATTACTAACACGTGAATCGTTCAGTTTATAAAATGAAACATGTGCACCCAAGTGGCGCAAGTAAAATAAAAATGGATAGGAAATATTTCAAAATAAAAAAAAATTAAAGTCAAACCGTTTGAACTTATGGTTAGCAGGTTAGCTGGTTTCAGTTCCGATTCTGCTAACAATGAGAAGTCGCAAACAGGAAGGCGGAAATCATCAGAAGTTTTTTGTAAACCTTACAACGTTTAAATTAAAATACTTTTGATTATTCTATTTGTCTTTGTTGCTGAAGTACAACTATGGAGTAAAGTATGTGATAAACAGTAAATGTGGTCCATTTTTACCATGTATGGCAAAAACTCCAAGAACTAGGTTTTGGTCTTATTTTTAAATTTATTTTTTTAGTTTTTTATTTTTAAAACAATTTTAAGAAAAGGCCTTTAAATTTTATGGCAGCTGTAGAGGTGAATAGAAATACGAGCAAATTTTATATCAAATTAAACTGATTGATACCTTGGAATTAAATTTATAAATACAAAGATTTTAATTTATGGAAATTTAGCAATTATTAATTTAATCAAAATTATCAAAAACTTTTAATCATTTAAAACCACCTTAGGCCCCTTTTATGCACCTGCGGCATGCAGCAAACATATATGCTAACTAATTGTTGCCGTGAGAGCACCCCATGGTCCTTGTTTTATTTCTGGCTGGGGGCCTCAAATCAACATCTAGCCGAGGGCCTCCCAATGGAGCCAGACCGGGCCTGGAAATATGTTGCCAGTTGCAGAGGTTTATGTAAATTGATGATAAGTGTTGCTAGAGTAGTTGAGAATGATATAAAGTAGATGTCGTAAATTGATGATAAGTGTTGCTAGAGTAGTCAAGAATGATATAAAGCAGATGTCGTTAGACTCAGATTTAAAGTAGCTCGCTTTGGCCTCGTTGAAAGCTCAATGTAGACCTTAATAATCGTACAAAACTACACAAAGGCCCATAGCTCGTACATTAATCTTGCATTGGTCATTCAAAGACAAATGTATTTCTAGCTGGTAAATCTTTGTACTTCCTCACCTATCCAGGACGCCTGATCCTCGGTCACTCGTAGACTAGAGCCTTCCTCCAATAGCTGAGGAAGGGTGGTCGCAGAGTACGACACGTTGATGCCTGTCTGCATGAACACTGAGTGAAGGATACACACGATGACCACCTGCCAAACATAAGGTTTATTGTAGCAAGTGTAATGATGGTGGTAGATAGAATCATTGACTTTGGATACAGAACTAGACATCTTTTCTAGATATACGTAATACTATGTATTTGGCGTTTGCAAACAAGTTATTTTTCACGACTGCTAAACAATTTTGATCGATTGGGCCAGCTGTAGCCATTTGTTTTAACAAAAAAGAACAGATGTATGAGCTACTGCATGTAATGTACTTAGAAGATTCCCCTTTATTTATTTTCACTGAGATACTTTGGGGAACATAAAATATTTTGGTGTAAGGATTAAATAGTATTAATAGTAAAGGATGAAATAGTATTAATTATTAAATAGTATTAATAGTAATAATAAAGGAATTAAATAGGATTAATAGTAAAAAGAATGAAATAGTAGTAAAAAGTATTAAAGGGTTAAATGTATTGGTCGTCCCACCAAAAACCAGAGCGACAAATTTCTGGTACACAGGTATTTTACCATACTGTATTTACTGACAGTGCTCCAGGTATTTTGATTTTTTATCGATCTATGCTGGTGTAATTTTTAGGAACTGAAGAAATCAAGCAAACTATTCCTTTTTAATCGTGTCATAAGGATCAAAGCTTTAAACATGATAAGAATCCATACACACCTTTTTAGTTTACTTATTTATAGCATGCCCTTAAAAGAAACATAAAAAATGCTAACGCATTGAAATACGTAAATAAAACTATAATTTTACATACCTGGGGATACACATCTTTAAAGGATGGATCTGAAGCTTTTTCACTTTCTTTAGATATAGGTTTCAAGGGCCTGAAAAAAGTTTCAACAGTTAGGTATAAATAAAGATCTATATTGAGCTAGATAATCAGGTATACTACAAAAAACTTTAAATATATCCTCATAACTGACTCATCAAGAATGTTTATATTTCAATATATACGTTTCATGTTTTGATTAGTAAACACACGTACAGGACCAGATCTAGACATTCTTCTATTATACGAGAACAACAGTCCGACACCGTCCCCCCTCCTTATAAAACGTAAATGGTAGTCAGTGCTGGATGTTGGTAAAATCACACGACCCCCTTTTGGTTGCTTGTGTTTTATACTAAAACAATATTTGGAACCATAATTGAATTTTTATTTTGAACAAGTTTATTGTTTGCGTGGTTGCTAGGAATAATGAAGTTCCCACTATCTAAGCCTGCTAGATGGTGACAACCTCAGGAAGGCTTGACTTGGTACAGATGACAAAACAAGTCACAAGATTGCTGTGCGGAGTCAAGTCGCCCTGAGGATGTAACGGTAAGTGATTTTGATTTGTAAATTTTGACACGGATGTCACCAGACCCCAATTCTATAATAAGTGACCGAGGAAGCCTATCCAGGAAGATAAGTAAAATTATTTCAAAATACTCACATCTTCCTGACTTGTAAACTTACTGGGCAAAAACAAACAACACTTCTCCTGTCTCTAGGTCCTTATGACAAAATGCTTGTCCTGTCGAATGTGGGGGGTAACATGATCTACCATGTAGGGGGAATGATATAATCCAAAGTGTTTGACACCCAACACCAAAATACCTCACAGAAACCCTACTGGAGTAGATGCACAACTGATAATATGTGGTAAACTAGACCAAAACAATTCTGGTTGAATAACCAACATTATAAGTGATTATTAATATTACTTGTACTATTGACTCTTAGTCAAAATTATGATCATGAAATTATAAACATTATTTTTAATAGAATTTTTTTCAATTAAATTTTACTAGGTGATCAAGTACCTAAATAGTTAAAAAACAAAAACCTAGTGCTGACTTAAGAATACATTTTTCTTCAATGGGAATTCATCGAAATAAATTTACTTACGATACAGAATCACTATTCCATATTATTGACATTTCAGCTGAATTCTCCTTTGTCTGGAAATCCGCACAACTCCTGCCAGTCCTTGTACGCAATGCAATACGAATGCGAGCGACAACCAACTGGTAATGTTAGGTAGACCATTGTGACATTGGGCAATCTTCCAACAGTGAGTCATAAACTAAGATTCCAGTCAGAGGAGATATTATAATTTGCAAATGTGTAAGCTAAGGACTGTTGCATAAACAAGTTTGCCTCGTGTCGTCTATGCTCAGAAGATTGTTATACAGTCGAGTAATAATGTGTGTGTGTGTGTGTGTGTGTGAGTAATAATGTGTAATGGATGTGCATATAACAAATGACTGTAAGGTCATGGAATTGAATTAGAAATATGAAGCTTTTGGTTATCCATGATTAATGGAGTTGCATTGTTTAACAAGTGGGAGTATACTGTCATTTTCTCTCTTTGTCAATCAATTGTTGATCATGAGATGGAGACCCCCTCTAGGTGGGTATTTTAACTCAAAGTGTAGAGTTGATTGAGATGATCTGTGTAACTTTGTTACCGACTAAGATCAGCTAATTCATTAGCCAGGATCATTTATTTAAAGCCCAATGATCAGGAACAGCTGGGTCCAGTTTTGAACCTTCAAGAAGCTACTGACTCCTATCAGGGTCAAACCGGCGACCTTTTGATTGTAAGGCGAGCACTGCCCCTTTCTGTACGGAATATTTTAGTACCAAGCAATTGAAAACCATTTTTGGGATTTACAGTATAACCTATTTAAGTCATTTTTAATAATTTGTAGGTTGCTCCAGAAAAAAAAGCTACCATGCACAGCACATGTTAAAGAGTCCTTTGATATGAAGGTTGTTTGATCAATTTGAATACAAAACTGGTTTAGGAGCTGGAACCAGCTTTTATGTGTACTACCATGCCAAAATGTTAACACAGTTTGTTGTCACCTTGTCTAAACTAATATTGATCTTAAATAGTCTTTGGAGGTTTATTTCTCTTTTCTCCTAGAAAACCTGGCAGAGGATCAAAAAGTCGAGGCTTTGGAGCTGAAATTAATATGAATAAAATGTTAAAAATGCCTAAAGTAACTTTACAAATCAATGAAATTTGGAATCTTAGGTAGTCAATATTTTTAATTCACCACTGTTGCTCATTTAATTTATTTAATGTGTTACTTCTACAATAAATAAGAATATGCTAATGAAATATGTTTTAAATCTATTTTCAATTGTTTTCTAAAGACTTTTTGCTTATTGTTCTGCCTTTGAACCATCCTACAAGTCCATCTATTTTGTCATTTCATTTTAATAATAGTTCATGTTGCTACCTATTTGGCTTGACACCTATCGTAGTTTATAATAGTCTTATGACCTGTACGGAATAACAGCTCTCCATATTAGTAAATTTTAGTTTTATTTTTTTTAATTTTAATAAATATACGCTAGGGTATGAAATTGCTATAAGCAGATGACCCATCTTTTACACCACTTTACAACAACCAACACCAAACTCGTCATTTTCCATAAAAGAAGAATCATCATGAAAAAATCATCATTAAAAATAATACCCCCGCCGCAGCAAACCTGCAGACTAAGCGAATTTCCATTTGCCTGATTGGATTTAGACTAAAATGTCTCCTTAAAAATATCACATTTATTCCCTATTTAAATAGAATCAGTTTAACACATACTTAGGTTTGCTGCAACAGGGAAGGTAAAAGTGTTTTTTTATGTAAAATTTTAATAGTTAGTAAGAAATAAAAACATTTTCCAAATTTGGGCAAAATATGTTAATAAACAAGCACACTACAACGGTTTACTTATTCTCCATAAGAATAACATGGGAATTTTAAATTAACAATTTTTTGGAATTTTCTCCGTAACCATTAGGCGCATTACAACGCTTCAATATACTAAATTATTTGTTTTTTTAAGCTCTACAAAATAGTTTGGAAAGAAATTTCAAAATTTTATGTTTTTTTGGTCAAAAATAGGAAAAACCCATTTTTACCCCATAAAAGCCCCCATAAACCCCTGTTCCCATAGTCCGATCATGCTGAATCGCGAACTCGTTCGAATAAACGTAGGTTTACACGTTTGTACCAAATTTCATCAAAATCGGATCATTTTTGCTCGAGTTATCGCGCTAACGGACACATATATATATATAAATATATATATAAATATATATATATATATGAATTTGAACGGATGGTGTTTTTGGCCTCTAGGGACCTCAAAACGAAAAAAAAAATCGGTCCCGGGTCCAGGTCTTACCATGAGTACTACGGTAATAGCATTCCCTGTATGGGAAATTCGCTAAAAATGAAAAAAACTTGTGATATGTACCATGGATTTAGTACCTACATACCAAATTTCATCGAAATTGGACCACAGGACACAGGTATAGTCTATAGCTCTGTACACATCCACACACTTACTTCGAAAACCACTTTTTTGGGTCAAGGACCCATATATCCACTCAAAACTAAAATTCGAAAATGTTGACGAAAACAATACTTTCTCCATACGAGAAAGAAGAAAAGTTTAGTTTAATTGATTGACAATCATTCAGAATTAATTGACATAACTATTTAATTGAAGTTTAAATATTTTCTGTCCCATTTTATCTGACTTGTTGTTTGCAGAAGCCTCTGGTTTATCTTATTTGCCGAACGTGTGGCATTATGTAACATTCATCTTTGTTTACGGTGTTAAAATTCACTGCAGAGTGTAAGAAATTTGTTAAATTTATTCACAGTTAAACAAATTATTTATCAGTTTGTTATAGTAAACTTCAATGATATTTGGATGTAATATAAAGCACCGCAAGAAAATCTCAAGTAAACTGCTTGTTATCATACAATAGATCATAATGTTCTATTGTCTGTGTTAATATGAAAGCTTTTAAGAGCACAGAAAAAGACGAATAAGGCAATGTTAGCCAAGTTTACCTCTTGAAAAATCGTCTATGGGGGTGTTTAAAAGTAACCGATTGAAAAGGTTAGTGTCAACAATGACAGTTCATGATCACGAATTTGACGATTATCTTAGTTTTTCTTCGTAGCCCTATGAATTGTTCATCTATTTTAATCTCATAGAGTGGGTTCCTAGGTTGCTATAGAACTATCCTGAGAAAACGTCGATTTTGGAACAAGTTCCACTCAAAATAATTAATTAATTGGTCTCCTAATTAATTATGCTATCTGTATCTGACAACAGGTTGATGTCTGTAAAAAATACAGTTTGGGCCGCGCCCACAAAACAATGTAAAAAATGCCCACGGTGCCCGGCGCCGTCTTAGATAAACACAAAGGACAAAAACCCCAAAACTAATGGTTTCTATAGCTCAAAGTTCAATGGTATAGCCCCATACTAGGTTTCCCCTTTCGATTCCCCTCCTGTAAAATATTATCCTGTCAATAACTTAAATTAGGTACTTTTTTCATGCAAGTCTAACTGTTAGCGCAGGCTCTACCTAACTAAAAATCATTTATCAACCACGAAATTTTAAAATAATCGGTTTCACTATGCTCACTAAATTGTAATATTTATAAATGAAACTATTCCTTCCAAAAAAGGTTGAACATTGCTGTTACCATTGTAAAAAGTAGCTAGTATTTTTCGTTAAAATGTTAGAGTCTACTTAACCAGGGTAATTCTGTACCTACCATAGATGAAGTAATATAATTAAATTACTTCATCTATGCTAATACTGTATAACAGATAACGTTTACTATACTTCAATGTGAGATTATTCAGGGTGTACAGTAAAATGTCTATGTAAATGTTGGCTAACCACGAAATAAACTATTATAAAGCTAGAATTATAGAAAAAACGTAATACCTTTTAATCCTACTTAATCTATATCGACTCTTTTTTTAAATCAAATTACCGTTTACGACCTAGGTTACACAACTCAATTTTATTCTTAAATGACCTGTACACAATTCATGGACATGAAGGATGAAAAATACTGTTTTTGAATGATAACCTAATGTAAAAATAGAACTTTGGTGTTATATAACAAACCAGACAAGACAACAACTTACTGTAAGCCGGTCGGTTCTTCTTCTACAGCCATCTCAGACGGTCCCTCATGTGGTAGATTAAAGCTTCGAGCCTTGGGATCTCCCCCCCCCCCTCCATACAACATACAAACCCATGTACAGTAGCCACAAACGTGGTATTCACTGCTTATCACCGAATTATGTAAAGAAGTTTACTTCTCTTTCAAATTTGCTAAGATATTTTAATGTGTTACCAAATTTCAATGCGCGTTATAAGGCTTAAAAGGTGGTGTAAAGTATATTTCAACACTAGGGCCTAAAGTGACTCTTTTCGACCCGAGCTCTAGTTTTACGAACGAGGCGAAGCCGAGGTCGGAAAATGAGCAAGGGCAACAATTAACTACTTTCGATAACATGCGATTTTGTTTACAATTGAAATTTACAACTGAGTTGACAGCAGCTGATTTTTACTCCATAAGTATTAAAAACTCTATTTAATCTCTAGAGAGTAAAAATGCTACTTAGACCCGAAATGCGTGCATTAATTTTCAGCTTAATGCACGCGTTGCGGGTCTAAAGTAGCATTATTACTCTCTAGGGAGTAAATTTGTTTAACTCTCTAAGGTAATCGATATACTAATTTTTCGTCATCCTGCAGCAAAAACAGCTGTTTTTAAGGGCGTATTTACGAGAGCTGCTTAGTATAATATAATATTGAGGACACAATTTTGACCATGAAGATGATGATGGAGATAGTCATGAATACAAAATAGCAAAACTCTAGAGGGAATTATTTTTCAGACTGATTCAATCTTGAGTTTTGTATATTATCAAAGTTAAGAATGAATGTACAATGATTACAAAACTTAAAGAAATTCATACGGATCATAACGACTTATAAGATAAATTAAGTTCAGTTATTCTTAAAACAAATATGTTAGTTAAGAAAACTAATTCCATCCAGGGAAGACTTGCTAAATGTCCATACTTCAATCCTAACATTGTAACCAAAACTCAGTGTAGTACATTGAAAACGTGTGTTCAGAGACTTTTGATGCTGA